GTAGCAAATTCTTTGAACGCCACGGAGTCAAACAGCTTTTCACTTTCAACCCCTGTCGATCGCATGGCGCATCCAAATAGTGAGCGATTCCATCTACGTGGAGCGTTTCTCATTCCTTTCCCAATTCGAACAGATTTTACAATTTTTCTCGAAATTGAAGGCATACGATGGCGTTGTAGCGCTCCCATTCTTGATGACGTCACGACCTTCTTTACCTTCCCAGCCTGATCTTTATCGCAACAAGACTGATAATCCATTCCAAAATGACTGTTGCACATTGGCGATTCGTTCAATCTTGCATGTGAAAATCGATTTATCGCATTCCCCATTTCTATTTCTTACCTTTTGTTAAAGTTTACCGAAGCAAACTGGTTACAGAGTTTTCTTATTGAAATCCTATTCATGAACTGACCAGTGTGTCGCAACCAATCTATTCATTACATTGGCAATGGGAAAACTTGCCAGCAATGGCGACACATGGTTCATCAAGTGGATTAACTACGCGTTCGAGAAGATCGGTCACGGTGTTTGGTTAGTTCAAGTTCTCGCAATACACATTATTACAGATATTTTTCCTTTTCCCATTTGGCACCCATTTAATACATTAACAACAGCGCGGGACACATATGTCCCGCACTCCCGCACGAAGGGGGCTCCTTTTGATTAAACTTTGCCCCGATTTTGATGTTACCAGATGTATTGTCGGATACAGAGAATGGCACCCTTCCTAACAATAATGAGTTTTTTGGCGAAATGATTACTATAAATGAAAACTTCCAAGGATAATTACGCATACCGCAGGTGTCGTTAACGTCTCGAAGGTCTTTTTTATGTTTGTTACCGCGATACATAGATTTTTGGACACTTCACTTTTCCCGAAACTTCTGAAAAGTATTTCACTTTTTTCTAGAGCACCTTGATCGACGATGCAGGGTTTAACAAGTTTCTCTCAGAATTCGCCTCTAGGCGGATTCGCGCGATCTCGCTAGCGTCGCGCCGGTGGCGTGCGTGGCGCAACAAGTGTGCCCGCAAGGTGATCCTGGCTGCGGGACGCAACCGCAAACTGCGTAGCCAATCGCGCGAATTTCGCAAAGGCTGACATCGGCCTGTAAATCGCAGGACGGAGGTGAAAGTAGAGGAGAAGAAATCACCCCAACCAGAAAATGTAGGCATTTCAAATTTCTACGATTTCCTTAATTCCTCTTGCTCATATTTCTCTGAACATTCCAGTAGTCAAAAAACTCCCATCTTTCAGAACTATGTGTGTGATTTTTGAAAAATTTACATGCCTCTGTCACATGAGCCTATTTAGCTATGCTCCATGGACGTGTATTGTTTTGAGCTTCATCTGTACTGGTCTTTTGAGCTTGAAGATACCATTGACCGAGATGGAGAACAACATCAGCGATTTCACGCCCTATGAAGCACGATCAAGAAGCGAACTGAAGGTCAGTTGAATAACGCGAATTTCTGCAGAAAACATGAATCGTAATAACTTCGTAAGAAACACATTTTGAATTATTTGAACCCTTTATATAATTAAAATTATTTATTTATTTTTATTTTTTAATTTATTTTTTATTTTTAATTTTATTAATAAGGACCCAATATTATTAATGTAACCTTCGGAAAGGTTAGCTTTATGTCACAGAGGAACTAGTAAAGTGAGAAAGGGGCAAGTTAAGAGTTTATTAAGGCAGCGCTTGCACCTATGAGAAGATTCCTGCGCACTTTCCTAAACCTAGAAAGGGGACGTCTTCGGGTGTGTGTCGGATGGCATTAAAAGATCGCCTTTGCATGATCATCGATAGTTGAGATTGCGAAGGCAAATTATTAGACTATCCCATTGTCACCGTAAGGGCCAGGATTGTCAGTTCATGTAGTCCCAGGTGGGCATCTGGATTCATAATCGTGCAGGCCAAAACCTGAGCCTTCCGATCTTCTCCGGGTCGGCCGTACATGTGCGAGCTGTCTAGGCGATAAAAACACTGCCCTCACACTGGCTGGCCACCGCATTCCACTCTACAGACCAGATCACATCCAATGAATAGAAGTAGACTGCGTGGCAATTTCAAAGGGATCAATCAACGCGGAATGCCTCTTTCTTTTATGCTCCTGGTGTCAACTCACCGGACTTGACTCTAGTTTTCCTTTGACTGATTTAACATTTTGGATATCACCTCATGTATTTTCAAATTTCCCTTCATTGAGACTTTTACATTTTTAGGGAGACTGAACGATTTTCTCTTACTAATTTTTCACTCGCCCACAGCCATTCTTATTCTAAACGATAATATTCATTCCATAGTGAACCATGGATAGCCATCGGTTAATGACCGGAAAATATGCTTCCCAATAGCCGGGGGATTAGTAATCCCATTTTGGCACTGCGGCCTGTATAAGAGCGCCCATGGCAAACAGTAGACAGCTTTGCCGTCACGAGAAGAACCCAACAACACATGAAAGTGAAGAGGGAAAGAAAGACAAAAAAAAGAAAAAGGAGTGTTAAGGATGAGAGCTCGATCCTTGGCGAACAAGGTATGCTAATACAGGTCAGTTCAGGACATATCGGGAATTCTTTTCAAACCGAGGAGGACCGAAGGCAATCTACGCTTTCATCTATGCCAAGGACGGAGGAAATCTGCTGAAAACGTCGCATTTGAACGAGACCGTGCAGGTAAGAGTTATTTTCTTTTGAGAAGCCTTTACAATTGGAGGTTTGGGAGTTATTTGGGGCAATTGTTAACTAGAGGAATGCCAGAAATCACCTCGGGTCTCCCTCTTACTTCTCCACAAAAATTTTCCCCGATTGGACTCATTAGATCGCGCAAATGCTTGCAATCGTTGAAACTAATTCTCTCGTTCGAGCTTTTCACAGATATCCCTAGCGTATCGATCTTGCACGATGGAGAACGGACTTTAAGCGACACCGCGGTTTTCGATGAGGTCTGTTTCGGGTAGAAACATCCTACCGTACCCGTCCTCATTCTTTCAAAAATCCTCACTTCAGGTCCTCGACAAAATCTCGCACGATTTCTACTTGCGGACTTCAAAGGGCGACAAAAATTTCGAGCAATTTCTGTCAAGGATTTTGCACTCTCAACGAGCCGATTCGTCATTTCTATGTGAGTCGTCAGCACTTCTGTTCAAGCGGGACCAGTTCTCCATTGAGGAACGATCTTCCTCTCATGAGGACAATTTCGCGGAACTGATGCTTGTGTCCTTTTGAGTATATCACACCGTGACATTTTCCAGAGTGGCATGTTGATCTTCCGACCAACACAGGAACAGAGCGGCATGCTGGACTTGGCGTTATCCTATACAACGCGTTCTCGGCACAAAGCTGTTTATGGACCCGAACCTCTTCGGTGTAAAAGTAGCCGTGAAAGGCGATCAAGGCCAAGAACTTATTGTATCAACAGCAAATCGCAAGTACAAGGATTCTCTTACAGGTCTGTTTCCCTCAGCTTTTTGCTTCTTCGAGACTATCCCAGGCGATTATTTAATCGCTATTCAATTATCTAAGCATGGACGATGACAGCATGAAGGTCTGTTTTGCTTCTTCGAGACTGTTCCAAGCGATTATTTAATCGCTATTCAATTATACAAGCATGGACGACGACAGCATGAAGGTCGTGGGAGCAATCTAAGGAATGAATTGCACGCAACAGAAACCAGTCCGTAGGCGAGAACTCTGCACCTATTCCGTCCGCTTTTAGAACCCGCTGAACTCGTTCCACTTTTTATTGAACCAGGAAACTCGTTCGCTCCAAAAAAAAAACCTGTGCTAGGCTATTTCTTTCTCAGAAAGTGGCACTTGTTGTTGCAGCATTTTTGGAAAGAGGAAGCCTTATTTTAGTAAAAAAAACGACTAAAAAAACGACTTTCCTGGTAATGAATTAGTCTTATTTCTACGAATTCAAGCTTTCTATTGCCCTCGTGATTATCCCCACAACCGTTGCTGAGTTTTCACAAAGGCTACCACTTATGTTACTAAGCGGTCCTACGGGGCAGACCGTGCCGCAAAACAAGAAAATTTGTAATGGATGTGACACTTGACTCCAAACCTAGCCAAATAAATGCATAAGGATATTGGGTAAGGAACTGGGCGTTCGTGGCCCGAGGAGTGGGTAGGCATTCGAAACAGGGCATTTAGAAACTGTTAGTGGGTGACCCTAACCAGGGAAGGCTTCCGACTTCCCATGGAACTTTGAATCGATGGATGGTGTACTTTGTTGAACTGCACACGAGGTTGATATTGACAGTTTATTGGCTAACGTTTCGGCGAGTTCGCCTTCTTCGGAGCCTAAAAGGATGGAAGTCGAGTTTATGAGTATCCGACCAAAAATCTCCACACACCTACTAGATCTTCGACACCACCTAATCATCACGTAATCACAAGGGAGAAGAAACACCGTACCTTTACCAGATCCACTGGATCCAGCCAACGACAAGCACAGTACAGTAAGACTTCGGGTGGACCGTATTCAGGGTACCGGTCACGAGGTTGATATTGACAATTTATCCTCGTCACCAGTTCAACAAAGTCACACCATCCAATCACTAACATGCCGAGGTTCATCGAGAGTCGAGCATGGAACTTTAAATTGAGCTTCGGCAAAACAATAGAGCCTGGAGGGTTGGTTACAAATGTGGAGATCAAAACTGCTACGTGAACCTTCCAAGGAAGTTCTGTATGGTTGTAAAAGCTACGTTGGTAATAATGGTATTTGGTAAAAACCTCCCTCCAAGTATACCGATCATCCCAATCACAAATATGACATCAACTCCCGGTGCTGGCGCTGTGTGGCACCAAATTGGGAGCTCCTACCTTACCAGAAGTTTTGTTAACACGGGGAACCGAACCCTGGACAAATCTGATTATCTACAATCCGGCACGTTTGCGTAGCATTTCTGAACTTCACTTTTGTAACCAGCATTCCAGGCCTCATCGATTCGCAGGAACTCAATTCAAAGTTCCATGGGAAGTTAAAAGCCTCTGGTAAGACAAGCTCAGAGAGGGAAGAAACGCAAGAGAGAACAAAAATTGCTCACATCCTCTCTCAGAATCGCTTGCTTTCCCTCCCTGAGGCTTAGTCCCAATACTGCAAATGGCTCAGTTCAATGTCCCTCCCCCACCTCCCGTTCCCCATCCTTCGAACGGCATGAGCGTCAGGAACCGCATGGACATGTCGATGTCCTACATACTTTGGTTATGAGTGGCTTCTAAATTACCATTGAGAGCTCTTCTTTACAAAAAGAAGTTTATGGCTAGATCCAAAGCCTGCCCTCAAACGGTGTGACGGAATCTTTAGCCTGAGGGGGAACACGAAACAAGGTGAGTACATGGCGAAATAATTGAAGATTTGGCTGGAGCAAAACTTCCACAGCTCAGCGGAAAATGGTTCCTCGTTCAAAGTGAAGCTGAAGGGTATTCTGCTGCAACACGGATGCGATGAAATAAGAAAATTTCTCGTGCTGAGTGGGAAAATGTCGTCCTGATGAAAGTCCCAGATCTCCACTGCAACGATTTCTTTGCCTCTCATCCTAGGCCCTGCTACATTCCCACATCGTGTTCAACTTTCTCTGTCCAAAACCGGAGGCACTCGAACGAAAAAGGAACGTAGTGGCGACGGGCTTTTACTGTCCGGTTAACCATTTACTACTGAGCTAAGGGAATATGTGCTTTACCCAGGTCTATCCCCGTATCATCCCATAATGGCCATAACCACTGTAGATCGAGAACAAGTGTATCATATGAAAAAAGAAATGACGATATATTCGTTGTGCTTCTTTGATTCACCCTTTGTGGACACATCTGTGATGTATTAGTAAAAAAATAACAAACAATCAATCAAATAAATAAACGGAAAGAAGTTGTAGAACACTAGCAGTAGGGCGTACTGATGGGAGGTATGCAGAACAAACGGTTGGTAAGATTACGGTCGCATTCACATCTGGCCCTATCTGAAGCAGGATCCTTTCAGAAACGATGTCAATCACCTATCCCTAGTGAACAGAACTATATGTTGG